AAAAACATTTTATAACTAAACTAAGTTCTATTTTGTAGTAATATTTTGACTCATTTTCACCTTTCGCAACATAATAATAGTGTTGCTTCAAACTTTATGATAAAAACCCCGATTTTCTAGGCGTGTATACAAATAAAAATAGTAAGTTTATACCATAAATGAGTTTATTTTACCTGTATCGGTTTAAATTCGCTGTTAAGTTGCAAATAATTCTGTTTGAGAACGCAATAATTGGGCATTTCGCAACCAGGGCAGTTTCAGGGCAGTTTTGGCCTTGTTGTTGGGAAATCCACTAGGCCTTATATTTTTTCGCTTGCGCATCCTCCGCCCCGCCCCCAAATCATCTAGTCCCAGTCTTTTCATGTGAAAAAGCGCTGAATATTAAATAAAATAATAAAAATAGAAGGCCTAGGTCTAGGCAAACATTTACCCATACACTTCACTTTGTAGAAGAAACGGTAGTGAGATCATGACATATGATTGGTCAGAGTTTGGATTTTCATCCGAGGTAAAAAATATTAATGTGGTATTGTAAAGTACTATTTAAAACACACGAGTAGGAGTGTTTTATCAGATATAAAACGCGCAACCGAGCGTTTTATGTCTGATAAAACACGACAACGAGTGTTTTGAATAGCTTAAAATACGACTACAGAAGAATACTAATGAACAATTATATAATCATACTAATTAGGATGAACAATTATATAACGAATACTAATGAAGATGAGTTTTATCAGATATAAAGTCACTACACGTGACACATTATGGCTGACATGATTTGCCACAAGGTTTATGAATTATTAATGATATTTTAACTGTTTATCAATAGTCCAGCTGCTCCTAAACTTTGGAACTCTCTTCCAGTAAGAATAAGAAAATTGGATAATTAAAAAGACTATAAAGACTAAATAAAAATGTCTTAACCTTATTTTTAAAAGTTGTTACTTTTAAAAATAGGGTTAAGACCTTTTTATTTAATAGAACTTTTCAATAATGATTAGTGTTTTTACATGTACATACAGTGGTGGATTTAGGGCGGGGGGTGCGCCCCCCCCCCCCCCCAAGGCTCTGGTCAACAGGGGTGCATGGGGGGTTGCAAAAATGACGTTTATCCTAATTCTAACCAACTTATGTTAAGGAATTCAGTTGCGTGTCACTAGTTGACAATAGCGGAATAGCCAATATTAAATATTCTGAATTTTTAAATGTTTTGAGAATCTAAAAATTTTCCAGAATGTTTTCTCAGAATGCTGGAAATGCTATTTCAGAGACCCAAATTTTAAAAATTTTCCGGGGGAGTATGCCCCAGACCACCCTAGAAATCTCGCGCCTTCGGCGCTCGTTTCGCCATTGGTTAGCACCCCCCCCCCAAAAAAACTTTGCTGGATCCACCACTGTGTACATACTGGAATCGTAGTTCTCTTTTTATTGTTTTATTCCTTATAATTATTCCTTAAATATTGTAATATAAAGTATATTATTATTATTTAACATTGTCGTTATTTTATCAGTAATTAAAGTAAATATTTTTTCCTTTATGAACTGTTAGGTTGATAAGGATATCAAAAACTTTGAAAATGTTAGAAGTCGTTTAGAGGAGGAAAGATACGAAGAAATGTAAGAGAATTAATTTTGTGGTTCAAACTCTTTGTCGTATATTACTATCCGATTATTATTTAACAAATATAAAACATTTTCCGTGTTGA